CCCCAAAACCCCAAAACCCCAAAACCCCAAAACCCCAAAACCCCAAAACCCCAATGTGTTCACCGAGAGTTGGGAGCAGAAAAATTATGATATCTTAATTATAATGATTTTTCGATTTCCCACTAACTGTTAAAAGATACACTAAAGTTCTTAAAATCTACTAATGTGTAGAAGAAGAGGTTTGGGGTTTTAGTTTTTGTTAGAAAGAAAGAGAGTTAGAGGCACCTCCAGTGCTATAGGAATGATTTCTCAAGTTCTTCCGTCGTTGTTAGATCCTTCTTCGGCTATTCTGTAGCTAGATTCGTCCTTCAGCAAAGTTCTTCAGTTCCTTATGAAGTTCTTCCTTGCCTCATCTTCCTCCATTCTTGGGTAGTACCAGCATTTGGATATCTCGTGGCCTTGGATTTTCTGGAAATTCTTGCCTGAATCTTGTGATCTCGGCTCTGTTGGGTCCATCAGTAGCTTCCTGAATCATCTTTGTGAGCTGTTCCTTCACCACCTTGTGGTAGTATCCTTGTTGGATCTTCGAGTAGTTTCATCCTGGATCACAGATCCTAGTTGGCCCTCATTCTCGGCTATGGTCTCCACCGTCTGCCGCTGAAACATAACAATAACTTACGTTGCCAATGAAGCTGGGCACTTCGATTGAGCTAGAGCATCTTTAGGTGATCTCGCGAGTACGTGCAGGTCTTCCTTTTGTTTCAGTGCCTTGCGTTTCCCCGGCTTGAGCATGTCCTTTGACCTCCTCTCTCCTGTGCAGCTTCTCAGCATCTTCAGTACCAGTTAGTCAACTAGGGCTTCAAAACTTAGTGAACGTTGGGCTGTCCGAATCTCTTCTTTCTTCCTCTTCCCTGAGAGTGACTTCAAGTTTTTTGGTTTTTATGAGTCTCCCTCCTTCTTAGTTAGATTCATGTAGGGCAATCTTGAGCATCAGCTCTAAGAACCATCTCTCTGAAGATACACCTTAGTCCTATTGCCCTTTCATAATAAATATTATATTGAGATCTTTATCAATTATTCCCAGCAGGAAAGGGGTTTTGGGGTTTTGGGGTTTTGGGG